AACCTTCAGTCATCCTCAATAAAATATCATGATGATGAATGTGATTACATATAATTATTGAATGATTTACTAGTACCTATCATGAATGACCTTATTAAAGACATAATTTTAATTGTTTACAATGATTTTGAAAAAAAAATGCAAATTCTGATTACCTCAGACCAAGAGCTATGTAACACCCTATAACGTGACAGTTGATGCAACAAACACATGTTCATTAGGTTTTATTCCTGGAACTACAAAAATACACTTTAGCAGTGACTCAATAACCCGATCAACTGATCAAGTATTAGACCATCAATTACTATACCCAACAGAGTTTTTAAGCTCTGTAAAATTTTCTGGTATATCAAATCATGTTTTGCATTTAAAGATTGGTGTTGTTGTTATATTACTAACCAAAATTTTGGATTATGTAATGGAACAAGGCTCATAATCACACACCTAGCCCTTAAAATTATTGAAGGACAAGTGATTTCCTTAAGTGCAACAAACATAAAACATTTTATACCAAGAATACTTCTAACAGCAAAAATTTACAAATAATCCTTTATCTTTACCAGGAAATAATTTCCATTAAAGTTATCCTATGGAATGACTATCAATAAAAGTCAAGGAAAAACACTAGATAAGATAGGCATATACCTACTTAACCTATATTTACGCATGGATAACTGTATGCAGCTCTTTCGAAAGTTATATCTCGAAAAAGCTTACATATTATAGCAATAGATGAGAATGCTCACCTATCATTGAAATGAAAAATATTGTCTTCCAAGAAGTATTTCATAATTTGTTTTAAGGTTTGTCAAGAAATTTATGTCGAACTTTATGTTAATTTTGATTCTTAAATTTATTATCACTTTTCTTCGAAATATAACTATTCTCATGTCTTCAATGATTATCACATGCTAGCCTCCCACACCAAGTATTCCTAAAGTCATACAATTTTTATATTAATAAGAACTTATGATTCTTTTATTTTCAATACAACATAAAAATGCTAGATGAATTTCTTTAAGATTTATAATTTTTCTAACAATGAACATTAATCAAAGTAAGGATAATTCGTATATGGCAGCCCATTGACCCATCTAGGCCAAACACGTAGGTGAGCCTCGATTTTCTTGCTGTTGATGCTAAGATTTATATAATTTATATATCAGAATATTCAACAATTTATTAAAAATAACTTAGTTTATATTTTTGTTAATTCATTAGTCAACATTTGCAAAATACATAATATTTCAAATCATTTACTTCAAAATGAATTCTACATGAATATTTACTTCCAATATTAATATTTAAGTTTTATTCCCAAACATATAATAAAACTATTCATTTTATATCTTTTACACTTAATTCAAAACAATTTCTATTATTCATTCATTGTTGACATTCTAAACATTCATGTTATTAACAAACAGAAAATGCAATGCATTACATGATTTGGAGTGTAGATGTATCACAATTTCAGCAATAACTAAGAGAAGAATGTCTTTATCAAATCAAGAAATTTCAGATAAATAACAAGAAGACTACTTTCAACCCTATTCCCTTGAATATCACGACGTGTTTATCAAGAATACAATAATCTACCCAATCAATGAAAGTTTGGATCCCTACTTAGCATGGTTTTTCAATTTTGTCACCATCGATCAACTCAATAGCTGAATCTGTAATGACGTAATTCTGACAGGTAATATGTACTTTTATAATACTCAGCTTATTTTCAATTTTACACTACACAAATATTAACATTAGTTTCTTAAATACTTCTATTATATTACAAGACTTATTGGAGTGTTTAAATTGATGGCAACTATAAAGAAAGTTTGTCTATAGAATAAAATAAATGATGTCAAGAAGCGAGATCTTTTTCTTAAAGACCTCAAGTATGACAAAAAAGAAAACCTAATGTTCATTCAATTGTGCTATTACTTATAACTACATTACGGCTCTTTTCATAGTAGAAAGACGTTAGGAGTTATTCTTTATGGAGATAAAGCAGAAGAAATTGATCAAGATAACTTTTTTGATGAAGTAATCAGTCCAATCATCATTTTGGTTGCAACAACAATCAAAAAATACATGAGCAAGTATATAACAGTAAACAGAAACTAATTGATTCATTTCAATCAACATCTAAGTCAACATGACTATTTGTATAGATACCCTTTACCTTGTTTCTTGCTCAGCTACAAAAATACAAGTAAATTGTGACACACCACAGACTTTGCTTCACAAATACAAGTAATATCTATAGCTCAAATGTTTCAACTTGCTGAGATATTGATTTTTCAAATTTTTTGTCATTCATTGTGAAAAATAAATCTATAAAGACAAAAAATATTTATTTAGTGTCCAAATTATAGGTATACAACTGCATCCCCACAATTTCTAGGGGAATCAAACGAAATTAAACACACAACCATAATTGAGATCAATATTGCAGAGCCAACCAAAGTGCAAGTAAACAAAACATACCTCACACGATTATAAACATCATTATCACATTAAAATACACTAACAACTCAAACACATTTTAGGAAAGTATATTCAAATTCAAAGCAACAATTGTTGACATTGATTGTACTAATGGATGGTATTATAACTCTTGTAATGAGTGTGGAAGTTCATTACGATTTTGTGCTGGAAAGTACTAGTGCATAAGCTTGAAAAGAAGGAACCTTAGCCAACGTAAGTAAATCAACAAACTTTTACATTCATTATTCATATTATCTAATAAATGACTATTTTTACACATTCTTAAACTCATTAATATTTAATCTGTCTTTATAGCATTAACACTATTATATTTTTCTACATTTTATTTAATGTCTCACATTTCAAAGCTTGCCACCTGTGTTTATATGGAATGCTTCAAAACTTTATTTGGTTGGGCTTTTGTTTGAATATTAGGTATTTAGATAAATAGTTTGGGCTATTTTTTAAGGAAAGGCGGGTAGAAAATTGTTTCTTTGACTACCCGTACATTTCTTTTCCTTACTTTCTGTCTTGCCTTGTCGTAGAAAATGGTTTTTTAGACTCTCTATGTGTTTCCTTCTTTGACTTTGTTTTTTCTTTGTAATATTTTCTACCATCTTATTTTTCTCTTCAATATTGCTTTCCTTATTTGTATGCTACATTACTTTGACACTTAGTTTTTGATATTCTGCTTAACTCGACTATCATAGTTGAATATGTGCATGTTTTTTTGTTGCTGATTACCTATGCTTTGAATCATGTTCAACAATTGTAACATTCACATGTTTGCGATGTGACTTTTTTTCATGCCTTATTATATATGATTTTTAGTTAATATACATATTCTTTTCTTCTCCATCATTGTTTGTTTGTTTCTTACAACCAACATTGAAATTTGATTTTACTTGAAATTACTTAATAAAATTATCTACACAATATGTATCTTAATTCGATACTCAAGATTCCTAAAACACAACAGTTTAAACAACTAAGGCTTAATGAACTAACATATCTATAATTTATGAAAACTTTAACTCTTTGTCCTTCAATTCTATTCTCTCATGCACTCATCTATTTTAAACAAAACATTTTATAATTTTTGACTGACATTTTCTTAATTATCTATTGTGATAATTAATACTATCAACAAAAATCAAACACTATGGTTGATTTGCTACAACTACTACATACAGCTTATTTTGGAGCACAATATTGGACAAATGGATTTGATAACATTTGGAAGGCTAGCAGAAAAATTAGTTGGTGCAAACATTGCAAATTTAGTAGCATTACAAATCCTAAATCGAATGACTATGTCAGAACCTGTCAAAGCTCTAACCAAACAAACCAAGCTACTCACAGTGGGTTTAACAACTAGAGCAATTCAAATATGAATTGTCAATTACAAACTGTTTGAGTCTAATAAGCTACAAGTCTTAGAATGCAATGCTTCAAATTCTGCAATAGCTTCACCATTCTTAACAACAACAGCGCCAATGCAGGGACCAAAAGAAGAAACCCTACCATAACCAATTAAAAACCAAGTGGCTCGAGAGCTTTTCCTAAATTCTACACCACAAAATCAAGCCACAACCAGCCAAACAAACAATTCACAAGACTAATTTTAGTTATAGTTTACCCCACAAAGAAAACCCACCACTAACAAAGAGGAAGAATCACCCATCACAAAATACAAAATCAGGTAAAATAATTAAAGTTTTGTATTTCTTTTCTATCATAATCATTCAAAACAAATTGTTCTATTACTTTTTAGCTAAAATGTTTATTAATTATTTGCTCATCATGTAATATATTATGCCTCCTCCATGCAAGTTTATTTCTTACCTCATAAACTAATCAACAATACAATTTCTTATTTATTTTTTATAAATGCAGAGTTCCATCCAAAGCTAGCAATACATCCAAAAATAAGAGCACTGAGCAATTTTCACCGGCCCCTTGATATTAACAAAACCAAGACTACAAAAACACCTATGCCTAAAATACCTTCTTTTTTTGTTAACAGGCACCATGATACATGGAACACTACCATATAAACTTTTGTCATTTTGTGTATACATGTGTGTAGAAATAAGGCATAGGATTGCTTTTCAACAAAAAAAAAAAAGACATAAGATCATGGGGTTTAATATTTGTTCACAACAACAATTACAATAATTATTTTTGTATGCATATAACTATTAGCAGAAACATCAAACTATAACAAAATATTTGTCCTCTTACTCTACTTTCTTAGCCTAATTACTTATTTCAATGCATTTAAATTCAATTTTCTATATGCTTCTAAACATTCAGCATAAAATCATTCATTCTCTTAATCAAAATTATAACAAAAATTTTTATACAATTACAATCTGGTAATTTTAAGTAGAAGCCAAAAAGGGCCTCAAGATTTTTGTAACGTGGGAAAGGTGGAAAATCGGATTCAAATACGGATCAGACCGGGTCACTGCAGGGCAACCTTATCCCTCTACACTTGTAATGTTTAAATAGAATCCACCAGTTCCAAACTTCACTAAGACCAAAACAAAGAAATGATTTTCTTCCGACCCTTAGAATCAATCAAACAACAATCTCTTCAATGATAAAATCCAGTTAATTTCATGTTAACATTGTTTTTAGAACTTTGATTACTTGGAGAGTAAAGTTGCCAGATGACAATGTGGATTGCAGCAGCAGCAACACCTTCAGCGAGTTCAAGGTTCCTTTTGTTTCAAATTCAATGCTCTGATTCAAACGCTAAACGAGGTTTTGGTTCCAAAAAACCCAACCAAAAGGTATATCTTTTAATTTTGCTTATTGGGCTATCAATGTAATCCTCTTTAACATCGATTCCCAACTCAGGCAAACAAGGTCAGTGCGTCAAGGGAGGAGAAGGGTATGAAGTCACAACAAAGGTATCTCAAACTGTGCTAGCTGATGTTTAGTTGGGAAGTTGGGATTACATTGTTGGTTTCTTTTTTTTTTTTTGGTAGTATTGCCTTTATTTTTGAAATAATACTCAAGTTGGACGTTTCCATCTATTGTTAATTGGTTACAGGTTACATGCTTAACATGTATCAGCGTCCATATTTATTACGTTGCTTGTTATAATTATGGGTTTGACCTTGTGATAGACTTGTTTATTTCTGTTGTTAGTATTGGGCTTAACCTAATTGGTTTTAGGTTGAATGCTTAATACAAACTCGTTTCCTTCTTAGACACCAAAACATTGGAAGTGCAACGAGTATGAAGGCCTTGTCATATTCATTATTTCCCTTAAATATGTCTATTGCATGTGTCTCTGATCAAGGACTGATAGTTCTCCCCTCCAATTCTAGTCTGTCTCTCTCTTTCTGCTTTTTTTCCTTTAGATACGTGTACTTGTGAGAATGAATAAGCTACTTGAGAATGTATTTTTTATTGCAAAAGTTATTAACATATCCTAGACAATTAATATGATTATGTTTCTGTCGTTGTAGTTGATATTACTTCCTTGTGCAGGAAATCAACTAGTAAACAATCTGGTCCTTCACCTGCACGTAAGTAAGATATTTTTCTATTTTAAGAATAGTTTTTAATGGACTTTTTTCTGACTGAAAATTCTTAGTAACCTGAGAATTCTATTTCTATGTTGTTTGCATGCACCTCAAATCCCCTGCTGAAGGCTGTACCTTATAATTGATCAATATTTGGTCTGAATATCTTACAATTTTTTGTTTTGGTACACATGCTAATTTTTGTTTGATGATGACTTTATTTAATAAAATTGCAGCATTAAATGCACAGGCAACAGGGTGTGAATTTCTGTTGTTCTCTCTGAACAATGAAAGCATATGGTTTTGTCTTGTTGATGTGAGTCTCAGAAATGTAATGACTGTTTCTGACTTACATAAGTTCCTCTAAAATGTATATTAAGTAAGGTTACGAAATGGATGGTACATTGGCCACCTACCCATTTGACGAAATAGAAGATGATGCCATGAATTTATGCTTTTCCAAAATTCTGATTAAAAGAATGTTTATAATTTTGATGAATTGAAGGATCTGTGACTTTCAACAACTCTCAAAATCATGCTACTGACGTTGACTATGATCTATTACGCTCATTTGTACTTGCAGTCGGTAAAGTCATATCATTTTCATTGAATGATAATGAAGCGAATTTAAAGCTTCTAGATGTATACGGGTTTATGCTGCATAAAAAAACCTGATGATTGCATTGGTGAGAAGCACCTTTTCTCTTTTCTTGCTTTTTATGTGTGATCTATTTCTTTTGCTATAAGTTATTGGTGAGAGAAAGTTCCTAGAGAAGGATTTATAGAGATACAGAAAGATGACAAGTTATCTTGAATGAGAGAGTTCCAGCAAGTTTACCATCTCGAACTGTCCAGGGTCTTCAAACTCTGCCTTCAATTTATGTAATTTAAAAAGATAAAAGGAAAAGGAAACAACCACAACCTTGAGTTGTTACTCAACATCGAGGATATCTTCTGTAGGGAATTCCACCCTCCTCTCTCTCCTCCCCCCCCTCCCCCCCCCCCCACCCCACAAACCACACCCCCCCACTCCCCCTTTTTTTTTAATTTTATAATGTGGTTTTCACTGCCATTTTGTTGTATGAGTTGTTAGGTGTGTCTTTGTGTCTCTTTTCTTGTTCTCTAGTTATCCTTTAAATTGGATAAATATTAATTTAAAAAAGGGTAAATGTTGGATTTGTGGGGTATCTTGCCTGTCTGGGGTGATTGGTTTTCTTTTCCCCTTTCTTTATGGTAAGAGTGTGTGTTTGTGTGGAAAGGGGGTGGGGGTGGGGTTTGCACATGGGATAGATCCCCTAAAAGTGCAGGAGCTAGGATAACTTCCTGCACTAAGTTGAGACATCTAAACACTTAGCTCTGGCTCATTTATTTCTTGCTGTTTAAATTATGCAACAACTTTTTACAACCAAACATGCTTTATGTCCTAAAAAACTGAAAACATATAATGGTAACTTTATCAAATAATACATAACTATCTATGCCCCATTTGCATGGTGTTACTATGAGTCTTTAAGTAGGAATTGCTCTAAAATGTTTTATTCTTTTCCCTTTTTGTTCTTCTTTTTTATTTATTTTTAATTCAACCACTATGATTTTTTCATGCAGAGGCACCAGGCTTAAGTGCTCAATTTGATGGAAAATCTAACAGTAGTTCCTCGGACATTGACTTTGAGGAACGGCTGGAAGCAATTAGAAGGTGCATTTGTGTTACATCTATCTCATGTGCTTCATACTTGCTAGTAATATCTTTGCATTAGCATAAAAAAGTTGTTACTGATGGCCATCAAATTAGATTACACATAGTAATTACTAAGGGTACTGCTTTCTGTTAAAGTGTTGACAGCCATGTTCTTGAGCTTCTTTGAAGGCCCAGATCATTTCTGTTATCGCCAATTGGACAGCACAAGAAGACTTACTTATGAGCTATACTATTTTTTCTTTTATATTAATTTGGTTATGCCATATTTGATACTTGGATGCTGCTAGGTCTATATGCAGTCACCAAAAGTTTCTGGATGCTGTTTAGTTCCAGAGAAGTAATTATAATCATCTTGAGACTCTTTCTTGGATGCTGATAACTTTCTTTAGGAAGTGTGATTGAAGTATACTTCAATAAATTATTGATGATTTTTTTCTTTGTCATTTACTACGTAGTGTGATGATAGGGTTTTGGATAAGTGTTTTTTGGTTATACATCATATGTGAATTTCTTTTGATGATGGCTATTCTTTCTGCATGCTACTCAGGGCAGCAGTTCAACAGAAAAAGGCAGAGGAACAAAAAGAATTTGGACCAATTGACTATGATGCACCTGCCGAATCACATAAGAAAACAATTGGGCTTGGTACACAGGTAGAAATATCGCAGTTATATACAGCAAAGCACCGTTTATCCTAAAAGAAAAGGAAGAAGAAGAGTATCACCTTGAGCTGTATTGTAATCATGAATTCAAATTCCCCTTTTTTCCTGACAGATTGGAGTAGGAGTAGCTGTTGCGGTCTTTGGTTTGGTTTTTGCTCTTGGAGACTTTCTTCCCTCAGGAAGGTGTGTTCAGAGCATCAAAGGTTTCTCCCTGTCATACATTTCCTACTCCTGCTTTGTTTCTTTTCTTTCCTTGCCCCTATTGTTGAGATTGCTTGATTACATATTAACTCTATGTAATACCGGTATGATTTAAGGAAGCTTGAAAAGGATTTTTTTCCCTGGCTGAGTGCACTTGATTGTCAATTACATCTATGTCAGAAGCTAGATAGAAAAAGTTGGACACCTCTCTCCCTCTATTGTAATATCCTTTCTTGTCATCAAAATTGAGGATACGATGTTCTATGTGGACAACTTTTCTCTTCGGTAGGGTTGGAACCTGAAGCAATGATTATATGCTAAAATGTAAAGCATATAGCAGTTATTCTGATAAGAGTTATTTGCTTAGAATTAAAGCAAAAAAGAGAAAGCAAAGGATTGCAACTCTGTATTAGTGATTTTGATGTATGCACATTTGCATTCATGCACATGTATAAGGTGACGTAACATAACTTTGTATGTATTTACTGATATCATAGATAAGAATGAGGAAAATAATAACCATCTTTTCTGTGCTTTTGACAGTAAAACAAACGCATTGCCATGGAGTGCAATATGGAAGCTTAACATAAAGTGAATAACTGGTTGTCCTTTTCGAAAGTAGAGGGCTTCAATCCCCACAGTATGCAACTTGCCTTTCTAGTGCCAACTATCCCTCTATTTTGAGAATCCCTCGTGTAGAGATCAGGATAAACTAAGCTGTTTACAGTTGGACTGCTGGGTAATCTATTTTCAAAGTGACTACTTTACAGGAACTCAGAATAGGCCAAGTGGTTCAGAGTTGAACAACCGGGAAATTTTGGTTTTCTAGATTTCCTATGAAAATGGTTTTCATAATTGGTTCTAGGCCTGGTTCATGTGGTTTTTGGGTTGACTGTTTGGTGGCAGTTGCATCTAATATGGTACAAATTCAGTGTCTACGGTGAACAACTAATAATGGAATTTGGCTATATGGAGGCATGTAAAGCAGGCATGTCTCTGCATAGTGCCTGCAAATGTTTCATTAAAACAGATTCATATCTATACTTTTTAAGTTATTTAACTTTCACAGTTTATGAAATTTTTACGATACTAAGAAGGGATCAATACAATGAAATCGTTGAAGAATTCTCATTAGAATATGTCTTTTCACAACTTTGAGCTCCTCAAAATATGACTTGCTTGATCTTGTTACATCAAATTGTTAATTGATAATTTACTTATTTTTCTTCGAGATGCGGTCACCATATTTACTAGTTATTTTCTAGCTAACATACGCCTGAAGTTTATCCTTACTAAATACTGTAGGATGTGCACCCATATGTTTATTAGGTTCAAGTTTACCAAAAAGGAGAAATCTAGCATGGTTCTAAAGGCATTTTTGTTAAACTTCCTTTCGCTTAAAATGTTTGTGTGACAGGCTGACTTGCCTGTCAACGAAAAAAGTTTCAGCTACTTTAATCCATGGAGGTTGGTTCTGTGTGTGTGTGCATGCATGCATGTATTCGTGTGTGTGTATTCCAGTCACATGTTATAAGCTCCAAATGATAGGAACTTTAGTTATTCATTTGTTTCATTCTCACTTTTCTTTTTCATTTGTTATTATTATTTTTATTTTGTGGAAGAATGATCATATCTTGACATGTCTGTCTTCCAGTACTAATCCTCCTGAGGAAGCTGCAGTGATTGACAAGAAACTGTCTAATGAAGAGAAAGCTACTCTTCAGGTACATTAATGACACATCCTTTAAGTTTACAAAATTTCCCACTACAGTTAGATCTGAGAGATTGTTCATGATGACTATCTTCAAGATAGTGCAATGTTTATATGAGAGGTTAGATGAATACTTATTAATCTGTATGATCCAAAGTGCAAGTGTGTGCCACTATCATCCTCGAAGTTCAGCATATATTGATAATTCAAAAGACCATGTACAATGTATAAAAGATTCAATCCCTGAAGTATTAGACAACTAAGATTCTGAACTACAACATTAACTAACATAACATTCCATCTTGAAATCATATCTCTCATTATATATATTTCTAACTCTAATTGTTCTTATTGTTTTACCGCCAGGAGATACATCCCTGATATGTAGAAATACTTTTGCATTTTAACACTCTGCTTCTTGTTTTTGCTTTCTACCTTCAAGAATAGGGAAGAAAATGAAGCTTATTTAAACCCCTTTATAAGGGTGTATTTTTAGTTTTTCTTTTTCTCCCTCAGTGGAATACTCTTGTTGCAATGCCACTAGTATCATTTCTTTGTCCAAGTAAAGGGGGTGCAAAATTCAAAGCAGAGAACTTCTCTGACTAATTTCCTCAACTCTCCTGCCTCACAAGGAAACGCAGTTGATATTTTTTCTGAGCATATCTATTTGCAGAACTCCTAATGATTACACGGATTCATGCTCATTTTAGTTTTTTGTTGTTGCATTATGATTGGCTCAATGACTCTTCTTATTGTTGTTTTTAAATTTATTTTCATTGAATTCTTCTAGTGTACAAACATTTTGGTCTGATCAGTTTCTTTCTTGTTGTTTCTTTGGATTTCATATCATGGGATATATTAACACTTTTGCTATTTAATATGTGGCAGGCTAGGCTGAAGCAGTTTGAGGCAACGCTAAGTATCTCTCGAAAAGATCCAACTGCACTTGAAGTGAGTCTGGGCATATTATGCATTCTTGATTAATTTTTTCTCTAACATTATATGCTGTTCTTCCTTGAATATTAACTTTGTTATCAAGATGGTTCAGTTCTTAGTTTTGATTTTTATGCTTATAGGAACATATTATACTTTTGTTTTCCTTATCTTAATTAACTTTGAAAAGTTGAATTTTGAGTACTGTTTTGGAAAACCATAAACGAAGTCTTCTCTTGTTCTTAAGTTGAGCTCCTGATTGTTTCAGTTCTTGTCATAACATGTTCAACTGTCTCAATGAAATTTCATCATTTTGCAGTCTGCTTGAAACTGTTGTGAAGACTTGGGTAGGAGTATAGCATGTGGGTATGTGTCCAACACGGGGAAGTGTTTGATAAGGATATGTTTTCATAGCAGTTAGTGTTAGTAAAAGATGAGGAGTCTGGAAAAACATGGGTGGAAATGCCCATTTCTTACTTTATTGGCTTTCAAGTCTAACCTGCTCCTTCCTATTCCAACTTTAATTTTCCTAATCCAGGAGCCTGTTAGTGCTCTGTTCTCCATGTCTCTCATTGGTGCTTTTTAACAAGGTCTAATTTATGGTTCATAGTCAAGGAAAATCTGTACACGAATTTTCTATGAATGGCGTTTGGTAGAATGGCAAAACTATGGGAAGAAATTTTAAAATGACTATTCATGATGTTGACCTTCCAATGCCCTATAAAGAGGCAAATAATGATGGTTTTGTTTTAAAGTAGAGCTTCTGCAGTAGTTAAAGCATGATCATTTGCAGTAGAGGCTTAGAGAATTCTCATAATTTGTTGGATTGGGTGGTTGGTTTTGAAAGATTATTGTTGACATTTGAAACTGCGATATATTTATGGTTTATATATTTTTTTAGCTCAATTCATCCCAGTTTATTATTAATAGAGTAACTTAACAATTAGGGAACTGTTGTTAATCCTCTTGTTAAGTAATAATATAAAAAGGTGTCAGCCTCGCTTGATGGTAGATTTTCCCATTTGTGTCTAATTATACTTCTAACAGTTTTGACCACAACAACAAACTTTTTGCACTATTAGTTATTTGTGACTTGATATCTAGTTGTATTATTTATTCTTATCTATTTGTTTCATTAGCAGCTATGAAATGATTTCCTTCTTCCTTTTTCTTTGATAAGCTGTGATCTTACTTTAGGTGAAGTTTTGTTCCTGAATGCCCTTATAATGAGTTTATAGCTTTGCCAAAGTGTTTCAAGTGGTACATTCTGCCAAAACTAGTTCTCAAGGGGACAACCCAGCAGTTAGGACTTGAGACTCCAACTTGGAGATCTCGGGCTTGAAATTCAAATCTTCTGATTGGTGATGTGGGGTTTATAGGATGGGAGAGGGCTATCTCCCATTATGTAGTCCAAAATCATATATACCAGGAAAGAAAAAATTTCTGCCAAAACTAGAAATGACAAAGGAGTAACCTTATCAATGATGTGCTGCCATTTGCTGCTGATCCTATCAGCCATTCATGCATATAAGGACATCACTACATAATTACGTTTGTACTTGAATAAATAGAAAAATGTATCTCTTCTTTAGCATCTATGATCCCATGACAACAATTTGAAATTTATCTAAGAGTTCTTGCAGGGAGCAGCAGTTACATTGACAGAATTAGGGGACTATGCTCGGGCAGCCTCTCTACTTCAAGACTTGGCAAAGGTTTGCTAATATTGGATGTACTATGGAATTTATGAGCTATATGTTGCTGGAGTGGTGTTATTTTAGAAAATCAGCTAATGTATTGTTTTAACTAATCAAGTAATATTTATGTTTCATAGGAGAAAACAAGTGACCCTGATGTTTTTCGTTTGCTTGGAGAAGTAAAATATGAACTTAAGGATTATGATGGTAGTGCTGCTGCATATAAACTTTCTGCAATGGTAAGTGTTCTCTAGATATGTAGGGCATTTGCTTATTACTGGTTGTTTAGATATTTGTTTATTCTTAACTGATTGTGCTTGATTTCAGTCTGGATACCTATTTGATGCCACTTTTGTTTGTCTAGTGAAACAAGAGCATTAACAATGATATGAACTATTCTTCTAACTAGGTAGCTCCTGAGTAGTTTTGCCTTTTTTTTCCCTCTCATTTTGTTTGTCATCCCCTGTAGTACATGATAACTTTTAGGCATGAACAGACACACATATTGTGATTTTATTTTTGGGACAGTGCTCCCGTTGGGGGGAGGAGGTTTTGTTTCATTTACAACTTGGAAAAGTTGATTATGAGGAGAGAGGGAGAGTTGGGAGAACCGGAGAACTACTTACCACTGTGTTAGCCTCTTGCATATACTTAAAAGAGGTAAATCTACAAATGTCCATATTACCTTGAGTACATAATATTTGCATAACACTCCCCCCACCCCAAGTTTGCTCATATAGATTATGTGCTTTTGGCCTGTTTCACATATAATTACTCTTGGACCAGCCAAAGATTTGGTGAATACATCTGCCTAGCAATCTATAGAATTTATTGATCTTGTGCATATCTCATTCTTCAAGAGTCTTTCTTTGACTTTATGACATTCAACTTCAATACATTTGGTTCGCGCATGAAACACTAGATTAGAGGCAGTATGTATAGCTGTTTGATTATCACTTACGATATCAATTAGCTATGAAAGTTCAAATCCAAGCTCCTCCAACAAGTGTCTTAGCCAAACCAATTCTCAAGTGGTATGGGCCATAGTTCTATATTCAGATTGTGCACTTGGTCCTGCAACAATTGTCTGTTTCTTATGCTTCAAGGGTGCCTTATTATCACCAGGTAACACACAATTACCTGCAATATCAATAGATTCAGTCCAGTTTGTATCGAAATAAACATCAATCCCAGTATGGCCTTAGTTTCTGTTAAGTAGACTACAACTTTAGCACAGTCAAGATACCTCAAAATTCTTATTACTGCATCCTAATGACTAGTCTGTATTAGTTGAATTGTGATAATAATATCGTGATACTACACAATTAATTAGATGTAGGCTTAGATACAAAATACATAAGGTCACTTGTGATATTAATATCACCTACACAATTAACAACATTTTGCCAATTTGCCTATGGTTGTATGGTGATTAAAAACAGAATTATGTTTTCTACTTCTTTCAAATCCAAATTGAAGCACTACTTCCTTGACTCTACTAAGTGCTTGTTTGGCTCGGTTTTTTTTCAGCTTATCTACTGTTAGTGCAATAAGCTCAATGAGTATAGTTCAAAGAAGGAGTGAGTTAGAATATTTTAAATGTTTTGAAAAATTTCTTTTCAATTTCAAGAAAATAAAGTTCCTTCAAGTTAAATTCCCTTTTTATGAATAAGCAAGATAATTGATTAAAGGAGTGAATCAACACAATAGTTTTTATAGAGGTTTGGCCTCCTTGCCTATATCCTCTCCCTTAGATTTGCTAAGGAGTTTAAAATGCACTATTAGAAAAAGATTCAATACAATGCCTTTTGTGGATCAAGCGCAACCTTTCAATACAATGCCTTTTTATGGCGAAAGCACGACCACTCTACCTTTTATCTTGGTTAAGGTATAACCACTCAAAATTACGTTTGCAATTGGTTAAGGTATAACCACTCAAGTGAATACAAAGAGAGAAATACAAGTGTAGTTATAATGCCTCTTAAAGGTTAAGTAATAGGTTAAGTACAATGTTTGGTGAAGAAAGGAATAAGCAATGAAGGCTCAATGAATAATACAATAAAAGACTTAAATGCTAAAAGAGAAGTGCAAAGAGTGTTAAAAGATTTGAGCTGAATTTTTCTTTCATAATTGTGTTTCAAAGTCTTCCAACCTCTACTGTTTGGCTTTATCCTTGAAAGAGTTATTGTGGTTAAAGACTTATTTTCAGGCCTTCGTAGGTCATATTTTTGATTAGCATGTTTCTGAAGGTAGTTCAACTCTAATTATGCTGTATCTGGAGATAAGTTGAGTGCCTTACAATTTTCATGAGTCCTCTTCCTGCATAACTCAACTTTTGTCCGACTTTATCTCTCCATCTTCTTATATCCTTCACCTCAGTTGTATAATGCAAAATTCTGCTGAATATTGGGTTTTGTATGTCATTTACAACAATGTGTGCTTTCATACTTGATGATTCCCTACCTTAGTTAATCAAATTTTGTTTGTGCTCTCCATGAATACCCTACTTTTGTCTGATAGGTGTCAAAAGATGTCAATTTTGAGGTTTTGCGGGGCCTTACAAATGCATTGCTTGCTGCAAAAAGACCAGATGAGGTATGTAATGGGCTGGTATTCGGAAATTAGAGTGGACATGCTGTTTTATCCTCAACCCTGTATGTGTAATAAACTACTTCTTAATGTCTTCAGTTAGCTTCCTCACTTTAGCCTTCCAAGTAATAGACTAATATGTAATTCTGGGTATAAAAGGTCAAATGATCACTGCCTGAGATTCTTTATTTTGTTTTCTTACATTGTAAACTGATTCGAAATGTTGGTTTATAAGGTCGCTAACCAATCTTTGTTTCTTATTAGCAATATACTACCCTAACAGATCCCATTTATTGCATGGCATATAGTTTGATCTTGTTGCATAGAGAAACCTTCATATTTGTTTTTTCTGTTGGAAAAAATTGACATGGTTAATTATTTGGGCTGGTGACATTTACCGTTGGTGATGTGTAGTCGACTAGTTTGAGAGGGGTTGGGTTTTAGTTTTCTAATTGCCAATTTGCTGGTGGCACAGAAAGGGCTTCCTATTGGCTGATTTAGTGTACCTGGAAATAGGGGTGTCTTTATATTTGAGGGACTCATACAGCATTGACCCAATCTCCAGATGTGTCTCTAAGGAGTGAAGGTGCTATTTTACTGGCTATCAGCGTCCTTCACTTGTTCCATCTTGTCTTTCTTTCTGCAGGTCTTTTAGGTTTTAAAACATTTTTCTTATATCATGTAATTACTATTTGCCTCTCCCTTTCATGGCATTCATCAATGAAATTTAAATTTTTTTCTTATATCTACATGCTCATGTTGTTTAAATTTTTTGAGGTTATTAACTATATATTTATATATATAATTTGTTATTATTATTCTTTGGAATTTCTCTTTAATTTTTCTTTTTTGGCCTAGTTTCTCACTCTTCTCCCTTGCCTCATCGTTCTTTCTCTTTTCTAACTCTTTCCCTCTTTCCCCTCTCCCTATTCTGTTCTTCCTCTTGTGATGCATCTTATGCACTTTGGAACAAATTGTTCTTGAGTTGAGGATTTTTTATGTTGAAGCCATCTTTGACAATGCCTCTTTTGTAATGCGCCCTAATAACCTTTTATTGCCATAGAGAAATTTGGTTACTATGTAGTTTCTCCTGTGGATGGTTTCTCAACATGAAGGACTGAGTTTATGTATAGTGTAATTATATTGGTTTAGATGGAAATTTGTGAGCCTTCTTGTCTTATATTTGGAGCTTCAAGAAAATTGGTAAAGGTTGTATTTATCCAAGTGATCTGATTGTGTTGAACCTACATATTCTTCTAGTTAACCGATATTTAAAAGTCAAGAAATTTGTATTCTAGAAAACAATTCCCATACTATGACTATAATCTTTAAACAGCATTAACATTAATATACTGTTACCTCCCTAACTTGTAAATGCAGGCTGTTCAATTCCTTCTGTCCTCTCGTGAACTCATGAATTCAGAAAGATTAAATCGTCCTAATCTCAAGGCTGACAGCAATAAAATGGAAACAGAATCACAGAAGGTGGATCCTATTCAGGTCCGTTGGCTTCTTCATAATGGATTGCATATTGGGCCAAGCATAACAAATATTTCGTCTCAAAGTTCTTACCATAAAAAAAAGATAATAAAGCATTGTAGTTATTGGTTCACTGGTTAACTGGATCCATCTGCTAAATTATGTTGCATTACTTAGGCTTTTTAGATTCAAGAACTTTTGAACTTATACTTCTTCCAGGTTTGTGGCCCACATTTATTGATATGGTTCGGAAATGGAATTGACAGTCATTCAGCTGATGGAATTGCTGCCAAACTTTTTATAATATACTGTTTTCGACAAAACAAACTTGCTTGCTAAAGTTTTTCCATCTTATCTATGATGCTTCATCAAAATGGCAGACCACTCACACTTCTGTTCACAGTAAGATGCATGGAATTTCTTCTATGTCCTGCTACTAGAATGCTATTTTTCAGTGTATAATATATACACACTTTCATAGAAACAGAAAAAGAACTTATTGCCTTGAGAATGGAAGCTTCTAGTCACCATTACTAAATGTAGGTCAATTTTCAATATCCTAATCTTAATTTTCTGTCCTTTGTTTTAAAAATGCTAACTACGTGTTAAATTAGTTCATAATCTATGTTAATTTAACATCAGATAATATTGTGGTATAGTTGCAGATTTCAAGGGTAAGTTTAAAAGTGGAAATTGAGTGGGTTGGTTCAGTCTCAGCCATAGGTTGTTTAAGGTTACATTGGCTTGCATTGTTGACTTTGAGTTATCGCAGATTGGATTCTGTGGGGTTTTGGCATGTTGAGTCAGGCCACTTTTGTTTGGGTACTCCCTTTTGTAGTCAGTTTTGGGTGGATGAGTATTGATTTATAATTAAGTTGCTTCTTGATTGGTGACAAATATCATCTAATTCTCGGTGCCTTTATTTATGAGATGTCTCTTAGGTTGATTTGCTTCTTGGGAAAGCATATTCAGACTGGGGCCATGTTAGTGATGCAGTAGCTGTTTATGACCAGCTCATTTCTAGCCACCCAAATGACTTCCGAGGATACTTAGTAAAGGTTATCTTTTTCTTCTGTCTTGTCTCTTTGTTCATTTGCTTTTTAAACGCTTTACATTTTTTTCTTTTCAAATATGTTTTTATATTGCCAAAACTGTCAAAATAACAGTCTATATCTGATATTAGGTTATTAAGTGGGATCCAAGAATATTTAAATTTTGACACACCCATCTTGCATAAACCCACTGTGATTGAACATGTGGACTAGATATAGGGCCCATCATATATATTGTCCTTAAAGTTTATTATAAGAATGGAGAAACTTATAATTCGTACTCTAGACCATTAGTTTAAAGATGCTCTGCTAACATATTGAAGAACTACTCAAATGAATGCTTGTAAGGGTTCAAGAATCTAGGATAAGTTCATGTTTAACTTGCCCTTCATGCTCATTTTAAGATTTGAAAAAATGGATCAGGCAATGGCCTGTCTTTTATAGAAATTGAATAATCACAATACGGGTAGCCGTTTAATCTAAATAAATATGTGAATGATGGTTTGATATGACGTGGACCACTTAACTGAAAAGCTTAATTTGTTAGGCAAGAGTCCAGAAATATAATTTAACCCTTAACAGCTTTTACATTGTTCAAGCGATTTATAATTTGATGCTTGCAAAATTGCTATTTTGTGATCTAAGCTTTCATGACAAGTCATCATAACAAGAGAAGTCACTGCATGAGTAATAAGTTAAACTATTAAACGAATAAAATAAATGATACTAGCAAATGGGGTAAAACTATTAACCCAATAAATATAAATGATTCTAGCAAATGAGGAGAGTTGAACCCAGCCTTCAATATAAAGATATACTAGCAAGCCAACTTCAGCATATTTATTCCCTTTTCAGATTGTATTGTTATCCTACTACTGGGTGCTAATATCATATTATCTTTAAAGGAAAAACTGATTTATGACAACATAAAAAGCAAAGCCTCTAAGATCAATTAGCTCAGAGACTCTTATCAACAAGAAAACTGAAACTGGTAATATACTCCTCTTCTCTAAGAGGATTTCTAGCCTTCAGGTCTTCATAGTTGCATGCTTCACCTTGTCAAATCTAACTTCATCACTAAAACATAATGTTCTGACAACTATTCCAAGTGGATGGTTTTAGGTAGTATGAGTGCTGCGCCAGTCTTATAAGCTAACTGTTAAAACTTATAATATATTTTTTTTGAAATGCAAAAGGGATGTTAAAGCTTATAGTTAACCTGCCTTCAGGTTATTGTTGTATAGTTTAATTTTTTGATTTATTTCCTAGAAGTAACTGAAGTATGTTTTACACTATTGGTCAAGGAATCGTTTAACCTAAAAGCTTAAATTGTTAGGTGAGAGTTCGAAATGGGTTTTAATCTATGATACCAGTAGTATATATTTTTGCATATCTGTCTACCTGTATTTTCAAAAGAGGTTACTCCTAAAGTCTTATCATGGCAACTTAGGATTGACAATCTGAAATTATTTCTTTCTTTTGTTTTTATTTTGTTCTTAATTCTCATTCATTTCTGTATAAAGCTCCATCACCTGTTAACTTCAACTCAATCATTTTCCTTTTACATGTCACCTGCTAGAGCTTCCCATCTCCGTCAGCCTCCTGCCTGAAATATTGTCACTTTGGTGCCTTTAATGGAATTAACCATGCAGTTACATTTAGGGGATTTGCTTTTGCATTTCTGGACCAGTTTAGACACTCTATTTCTTATCTAATTCAGCTTTTCCCTTTATCCATGATATGATTCAAACTTATAAATAATGTTTTATATTTCATTGAATACACAAATTGAAACCTTTTGAAAACAATAATCGGCCTTAAACAAGAAATATGTTATGCTATATGTTTATGCCCCAACTCTATAGATGAGGTGGCACGAGCTATGGTTTATCAGTAGCCTATTTGATGAGAAAGATACAGGTATCCTGTAAAATTCTATTAATTGTTGGATAAAAAGGAACTTTTAACCATTAAGTTCTGCTGATTAGGAGATGCTTAGTTGATAGTTTTGGATGAGCCTATCAATATATTAGATGCAAAAACCTAATACAGATAAAGAGGTTGTTGTTTGAACTTTTCAAGCTCATTGATGCCATGTCCTTTCTCTTTTTTCTATTCTTTTCTTTTCCTTTTTTAGTTCCCTTTCTAAACTCTGAGATGCCATATCTTGCGATATAGTGCCTTTATTTAATCTCGATATTAGGTATTCATCATTAACTATCTAGCAGCACAATACTTTGCATTAGCCTATACCCTTGAGATAGAGATTGCAAAATTCTATGTTTTTTTTAATTGTTCAACAACTCTTGGTGGATTTGGATATTGAATTTGATTATTTGATGAAGCTAGAGATGTGCGTTAAATTTTGCGTAGTGTTTAGGTAAATTGTCTCACATCCATTTTTGAGGTAATGTGTACATAAGTTGGCTCCATAATGCATAATCCATTTCCTCGTGGATGATATTCCTTTATAGCATGTCTTGATGTTTAAAGGTAAAAGATGGAAGAGTAAATGGGTAGAATGGAGAAGAGCAGAGCAGAGGAAGCAACTCTCTTTACCTTGTTTGAGAGTGAAGAGAGCAGAATAATGTAAAATAGAATTTATATGCTGTCGCCACTGTCCACAGATATTAAATTGTTATTAAAGGAAATGTTTTTTCTGGTACATATGATCTTGGGCTGTGCAATGGGAGGTACCCCTCTCCCATCACAAATCCCACCCTTCTCATCCCAGGATTTTAACCCGAAACCCTTTAAGTTTGAGCCCCAAGTCCTAACTGGTAGGATGTCTGCTTGATGTAGCCCAACATCACAGTAATCCCACCCTGCCATTCTAGATTATTCCACAAAAGGTTTCTGCTTATACCTTTTCTTTTGTTGGTGATCCTATAGTGGTTGTTAGTTCTGTTTCTGCAGGATTTAGGTTGTCTACCAATTTTCCTTTTAGAAAATGGATAAACTGCTACACTTACTATTATTATTAGACCTGTCAATATGGGCTGGCCCGGCCCAACCCGGCCCTAGCCCTTGTGGGCTGAAAAAATATGGGTAGGGCCGGGCCAGTCCATATTTTATATGGGCTACAAAATGTTCAACCCAGCTCACCCCTTATTAGCCCATGGGCCGGGTCGGGTTAGTTCCTTTTTTTCAAAACAAAATTATTTCTACTACTCATCAATACAAGTATAC